ATTCTCATATTAAATTCTGCTTTGGTACCCTCATCCAACACTGTATTCTTCTGTCTCTAGATCTGTGTTTTCTTCACCTATCTACCTGAAGAAACCAGACAACGTTTACCAACCTATCTTGAGGATTTTATGCACGATCTAGTATACAACTGCTCAAATACTTATTCAATGAGATCAATTTCATCAAACTCAAAACTACAATGTATTGAATAAAATACAGTAAGGTTTAAACTTCATCCCTGCCCCAACAGCAGTAGTTATACCAACTCTACATACCTCTAACACGTTAGAACACAGCTCATCACAGTATTCCTGAAATATGCTCCCATGGAACACACAAGAGTACTTTATTTACAATTTACAAACTAAGCCACGATTTGCCAATCAACCTCCATCAAGTAATTGCTTTTCTCAATTTGGAGTAGAAAAACAGTTAAGGTCTAGATAGACTCTCTTCCATAAGGGGGCTTCTTTCTGTAATTGTCTTAAGCCTTTTAGATCCTTCAGAAAAAAAGCAAGTGACATATAACTACATCAAAATTTCAGTGTGCTGTTTATATAGAATTATGCCATTTAAGTGCTCTGTCAATGGAGCTATTTTGAGAATCACAGAGTATGCTTTACCTTTTATGTGTGCACACCTGTGTATGTGTTTTTTAATTTTTTGGAAATAGGGATCAATACATGTCTTACTGAGTTCTTCTATTTTCATCCCACATTTAAACATTTTTAGGGACTTTTCTAAAACAAATGGCAATTATAACTAGAATTATATGCAATATCAAACTCTTAATATTCTATAGTTCTGAACAAGAGACAAGTCCAAATTCTATTACTAAACAGTTCTATACTTTGGATTCTCTTGAGCGCCTATAAACCTTCCACTTTTTCATAAAAGAAGATAACAGAACTTGGTAGGAGCGGTTAAACTACTCAAAATAAGCTCTCTCTCTCTCTCTCTCTCTCTCTCTCTCTCTCTCTCTCAAATCAGGTTTTAGAAATTAAAAGAACAGACCTGAGTCTCAATCTTACATCTGAAAGAAACAACTTAGTAACATATAAATTTTGTTTATAGGTTTCTATGTTTAGCACTATTATAAATGCCAAAAAGACACAAGCCAAAACAATTGAATATACTCAGGTTCTAATATTTTCCTCCCTTCCTGGATGATCACACTACATACCTTCCTGTGGTATAGATATGATTTTAGACCCATACTAAAGCATACAGAATTGTTTGTATTTTCTAGAACTGTCATACTTTGCATTCACTGAAGTTTACCATTCTGGAGTGTCCCTATATAACTCTCCTGAAAAATCCAAGAACATGATTCAACTCCTTTAAGAATCACTTGAAGTATACACCCTCCTGAAGCTTAAATTACTCTTTCCCCGTCTTTTTTCCCCTCACCTGTCATCCCTACTCTCCCCTCTCTCTTAACTTTAAGCCAACTTTCTCTAAATTTTTGGCCTGTATATTCATTATATAATTATTATAACAGTCATATACAATTATTACTTTAAATGCTTCCATACCACTTAGGGACAAAGAGCTGATGTTTTCATTTCTTTGCCCTCCTCCCCACCCTCCACTCCCCACCCCCATTGGTCTTTTTGAGACAGGGTTTCTCAGTGTAGTCCTGTCTGTTCTGCAACTTGCTTTGCAGACCAGTCTGGCTTCCAACTCACAGAGATCTACCTGCCTCTGCCTCCTGATGCTGGGATTAAAAGAGTTTACCACCACTCTTGGCTTTGATGTTTTCAAGGACAATGCCTAACTCCACTAACTAGAGAAATATTTGTACCATTAACTAAGGTAGCCTAACATTTTCACTGTATGGATGAAGAAACTGAGATTTGTTATATGTTCACAGCACCTGTACTACTAGGCTGTTCTCTAATAATAATAAGATATCCTCTTTATCTACTGTACCCCACCAAATGCTTGCTGGAAAGCTCAACAGTATGTGTAGCAGCTCAAGGAAAAAAATTTTTACATTATTTATGGAAGGAGATGTATCCCCACAAGCCAAAGTCAGAACAACTTCAGGAATCAGTTTCCTCCCTGTACCACATGAGTTCCAGGGATCAAACTCAGGTTCTCAGGCAGCAGCTGCCTTTACCCACTGAGCCTTTCTGCCAGCTTCATATGCAGCAACTTTAAAGTCATCTTTACCATTTGAAAGTAATAGTTAAGTAGATGTCTGAGAAATACAGATCAAAAGACAAATGAAAACAAGTACTACGTGAAACTGGCTTAATTACTAACATAGCATACATTAATATATTCACAAAGTCATCTATTTCCTGAAAATCATAACCACACACACAGTCTGTAGAATACTGTTCTAGAAAAGATTTATATATCTAACTTATATCCCAAGCAGCTGTAGCTTTCACCAAGTTCTGCCCACTCAAAACACTTATTCAGTTATGACTCAGATTTTAAGCTAATATAAATTTTTTTAGTATCCACAAATATAGTCTAGCACTTATAAAATATTTGCATACATCAAATACTGTTACAAAAACATGAGAGACTCAAATATTTATCTATTTGAGATTATCATTTTACTTTGCTACTAAAATGCAAGACTTTTATTTCTTTTGGCTAATTAATCAGATATATATAATTTAATAAATTGACAACATTGTAAGTTTAATTTCTAAAAGTAGACACTATTAGATCACAAGGGAATATTTCTGAGCACAAACCACTGAGCATAATGATATTTATAAATTTTTATACAAAGGAGAAAAAAATAACTTGTTTTTTTGGAGGACAAAGATTTGTTATATGCACAGTAATTTGGAAATAGCTACAGTTTAGCTATATCTCTATGTTACTTTCTAGAACTTCCGTGCAGCTATCTATCTCATTCTACATGCCTGTTTCTCCATCTGTCTAACTAGATGGACTACAAGAACTCTACTGTTCCTTCTGTGTTTAAAATCCTGTGACATCAGTTTGGGGTATATTTAGCTATTTAAAAATAATGACCTGTGGGACTGGAGAGATGGCTCAGATGGTTAAGAGCACATCCTGCTCTCCCAGAGGACCAAGGTTTGATTCCTACCACTCACTTCAGGTGGCTCTCAAACCACCTGTAACTTGAGCTCCAGTGGATCTGACAAACTCTTCTGGCCTCCAAGGACAACTGCACACACACACACACACACACACACACACACACACACACTAAAAATAATCTTTTTTTTTAAAAAGCTTTTTAAAATGATGGCATGTGAATAGACTGTTTTTTAAGATGTACTACATTTGCCACAATGCACTGTAAAGATGAGTAACAAGCACAGTAATATAAATCACCCAATAAAAATATTAATCTACAAAGCTAATTTGTAAATAGCTAACCTATTACCAAATAATTCTACTTTACTGAAGAATGCAAAAACTTTAGTTTAAAGAGAATTTGCTTTCTAATGAGCTAAGCACTCACTATATTACTCTTTTAGTGAAATTAGTCAGCAATAAATGTGAAAATAGTAAATGAGCATCCAAAGACAAATGAAAGATACATTATTTTACATATATACAATGCCCAGGTTCAGATTTGAGGCAATATTCATTTTCTTGCACTATTGTGATTAATACATTGAGTGACACGACCAACAGTATTGACTTCATTTTTTAAACTTAGTCCTCACAGCAATTTTCTGAAGATGATACTGTCCCCAATTTATAGGCAAGGAAACAGGTCAAAAAAGCCAGTCAGTTCATTCAACTAATAAATAGTCAAACTCCTATTCCAGGGGCTGGAGAGATGGCTCAGCAATTAGCAGCCCTTAATGCCCAATCAAGTGGACTCAAGTTTAGATCCCATTACCAAGGAAAAAGCCCATAACCTCAGCTCCAAAGGAGAGGAAGACAGGAGGCTTTCTGGGGCTTGCTGGCTTCCAATCTATAGGAAAATGCAAGCATGATGTTCATGGAGGGGCCATGCCTCAAAGGACATGGTGGAGAGTGACAGCAGACACCAGACACTTTCTTCTGGCTTCTGCTTCATGAGCATTTGCCCACACATGCAAGTGTACACACACACTCTCTCACACACACAAAATAAAAATTCCACCTTCACTAACATTCCTAATATTTAAAGATGTTTCTATTACTGTAACTGGGCTCATGTCCACTATCTAGTGATTATTGTATAAAATACCTTAGTCTTAGTGTCCTATGTTAACTTATTTTCTCTTCCTAAAAGGGGAGGAGTATACAGATGGTGTATACTAAAAGCATGGCACAATTTGAATTACCTATAATTTCTAGTAGAATAAAAAAATTTCTAAGGCTGGGTGCTTAACTCCGTGGCAGAGTGCTTATCTGATATGTTTGAAACCCTCTGTTCTACCTAGCACTGGAAGAAGAAAAAGACAGACGGACAGACACACACATCCATGCAAGTCTAAACTTATGAAATACGTTGTGTTGATGCATTCATTTCGTGTCACTGAAAAAAATTTAACTTTCTCAGATAAAACGGAAACATTTAATAACAGTAAATTTCCAACGGCTGAAACTGATAGAAGATAAAAATTTTAACCATCTTTCCACGCGAGCCAAAATTATTTTTCTAAAGGCATTTCGCCCTACATGCTGTTTTAAATGCTATGCTAAAACAGTATACGAGTGGCGGGTTCAACTTCCATGCTACAAAAGGCTTTCCCTCTCCCCACTCGCGTAGCTCTGACGTCTGGAACCTATCTACCTGGTCCCGAGAGTTGGGGTTCCTAGGGCTGGACTCCCTTCTCGGCTTCTCCGTGGATGCACTCACCCTTCCAGCCATGCCCATCACACCCCTCCGGTCCCGCGCCCAGCGCTGCTCCTCCTCCCGAGGTGCCAGCACCAACTCAGCACCTATCAGCGCCGCCCCCCAGGCCCTGGCCCAGCCCCTCCTCGGACACGTGTGCGGGTGTGTTTGTGTGTGTGTGTGTTTGTGTGTGTCTGTCTGTCAGTCCCACCAGGGACCCGGCTCGCTTACCGAGAGAGAAGCGCCAACTTCTGCTCCAGAAGCATCTCCAGTTTCTGGCCCTGTTTGGAGATCCAGTGGTCGACTCCGTGCAGGCGGTAGCACGTCTCCAGCATGAGCCTGAAGTCCGCCACAAACTCGGTGATGCCCCTGTACTGGCCGCGGGAGAACTTCTCCTCCATCTTCAACAGACACATGCCCTGGCCGGGCTGCTGCGGGAGGACGCGACTGCCCCGGCCCCCGTTGCGCCGCCCTTCGGCTCCGTCTTCTTCCCCGGCGGCAACGCCCCCCAAGGGCTGCAGGAAAGGGGCGGTGAGGCCGCGGTGCTTCTCCTGCAGGAACTCGCCCAGGAT